ATACGGTTGCCGACGTACGTCGCGCAAAATGGGACGCTGCCATCCCCATTGTTGCTGTTAATCGAAAAGCTGATTATTTGTTGTGCGGACCAGGGGCGGTGGAGTGGAACGACAAGATGCGGTCTCGACCGTGTCATACACCTGCGCCCGTCCCCGGTCTTCTTGACTCTGTCTTGACAACGGGTACAGGTGGGGAGGGCGGGAGGGTGCGGTAGATGCTGTTCAAGTATACTATCATTAAAACTAATTTTTTGTACAAGTTGCCGTCCCTGTTCTCACGCTGAAGTGGAGCACACGCTGAACATAGTCGAAAGTGGCGATCAAACTATCGTGTGTGTGCGTGTGTGTCTGCGGCCCTGGCTAGACTGAAGACGGCGTGGTGCCCAGCAATGTTTAGGCCACCTTTTCTAGGCCCTTCCCCTCGTGGGGGCTGGCAGTGCCATCCCTGAATAGGGCTGCCATGTGCCGTTGTGGCACGGCCGAACTCCACTATGGGGCCACGACTTCTGGTTGTAGTGAGAGCGACTCGAATTCGCTGTAAGCCGCGGTCTCCGACGGCGTAGGTGGGCGCGTCTGTCGATGTGGAGATCCATCCCGTCACCGGCTGTCCAGCGGCGTGCAGAGACGAGCCACGTCACGATGGCGCAGACGCAAGGTTCCATCCGACCTTCCATCCAGCGGAATCCGCAAACCCTGTGCACACGGCACAGCACACAGGGCCCCCTCACCTGGTTTAGCCCGCCGGTCGAGACGGTTGTCCGGGGTGTGGCCGCTGAGCAGAGCCCAGCTACGTGGAGCCACAGGTGAGAGTTGAGTGCCAGCAAGTGAACGCTAGGCGTAGTCTCACCTGTAAACAAATGAGCCACCACTACGACCATCACGTGAACCCATCTCGGACACACCTACACCCGTCTAAACATGATAGAAACAATCAAAATCGAAGCAATAACAATAACCATACTCATTCTCCTCATCCTACCTCTTTTTCCTCTTCCTCCGCCCATTCTTCTGCCTATTCTTCTCCTTCGTTACCTTCTTCTCCATCTCCTTCCCGTCGCCCCACTCGTTGTCACCAGACTGGCAGAGTGAGTCCGCTCACTCTGGCAGCCTGGAATGTTCGTTCCCTTTTAGACAACCCGAGGAGCAACCGACCGGAACGGAGGACAGTGTTAATGGCACGAGAACTGGCGCGCTACAAGGTTGACATCGCCGCACTCAGCGAGACCCGATTCTCCGAACAAGGCCAACTGGAGGAGGTGGGTGCCGGCTACACCTTCTTCTGGATTGGTCGACCCAGAGCAGAGCGACGAGACGCGGGCGTCGCCTTCACCATCCGAACCGACATCGTGGGACGACTGCCCTGTCTGCCGCAGGGCATCAACGATCGCCTGATGAGCCTCCGTCTGCCTCTCCGGCGGGGGGGGGGAGGGCAAATTCCCCACCATCATCAGCGCCAACGCTCCGACGATGACCAACCCCGGCGCCGCCGCAAGGGACAAATTCTACGAGGACCTGCACGCCCTCTTGACGACTGTGTCGAAGGCAGACAAGCTGATTGTCCTTGGCGACTTCAACGCCCGCGTCGGCACAGACCACACTGCCTGGAGAGGAGTGCTGGGTCCCCACGGTCACCGCGGCTCAAACGACAATGGTCTGCTGCTGCTCCGCACCTGCGCAGAACACCGCCTCATCCTGACGAACACCTTCTTCTGTCTGCCGGAGCGAGAGAAGGCCACCTGGAGGCATCCTCGGTCACGTCAGTGGCACCTGCTGGACTATGTCCTCGTCTGGAGGCGAGATCAGCGGGACGTGCTGGTGACGAAGGCGATCGCGGGTGCTGACGGGTGGACCGACCATTGCCTCGTCATCTCGAAGATGCGTATTTGCCTACAGCCTCGCAGGAGACCACAAGGTAAGCGACCCCCAGGTAAGCTCAATGTTGTCTTGTTGTCTTTGCCCGCTCACCGTCTTCATTTCAGCAATGAGCTAGTTCAACGGCTAGACAACCTTCCAATCGCTGCCGCCTCCGACGCCGCCGCTGCCGAGAACACCTCCGTGGAGAACCGCTGGTGTCAACTGCGAGACACGGTCCAGTCGACGGCGCTCGCCGTCCTCGGTCGCGCTCCCGGCCAACACCAGGACTGGTTCGACGACAACGACATCGCCATCAGAAATCTGCTTGCTGAGAAGAACCGCCTACACAAAGCCTACGTAGATCACCCCACTGAAGACAACAAAGCTGCCTTCTACCGCATTCGCCGCCAACTGCAGCAACGTCTGCGCGAGATGCAGGACGCCTGGACTGCTCGCAAAGCTGAGGAGATCCAAGGCTACGCGGACCGCAACGAATGGAAGAAATTATTCTCTACGATCAAAGCTGTCTACGGTCCGCCGACGAAGGGCACTGCTCCTCTCCTCAGCGCCGACGGCAGTACTCTCCTGACGGAGAAGACGCAAATACTACAGCGATGGGCCGAGCATTTACGAGGCGTCCTCCACCGCCCCTCCGTCATCTCAGACGCCGCCATCGCCCGTTTGCCGCAAGTGGAGACCAACGTGGACCTCGACCTCCCGCCATCTCTCCAGGAAACCATCAGGGCCGTGCAACAGCTCTCCAGCGGGAAAGCACCCGGCTCAGACGCAATCCCTGTTGAGGTCTACAAACACGGCGGTCCGCAAATGATGGATCACCTGACTGCGCTCTTCCAGGAGATGTGGCGTCAAGGCGAAGTCCCACAGGATTTCAAATACGTAACAATCGTGCATCTACACAAACGGAAAGGAAACCGCCAGCTCTGCAACAATCACCGCGGAATCTCCTTGCTGCACATCGCCGGGAAGATCTTCGCACGAATCCTCCTCAACCGCCTCAATAACCATCTCGAACAGGGCCTTCTGCCGGAAAGCCAGTGCGGCTTCCACCGTCATCGTAGGACCACGGACATGACCTTCACCGCCCATCAACTTCAGGAGAAGTTTCAGGAGATGCGGACCCACCTGTACTCTACCTTCGTGGACCTGACGAAAGCCTTTAACACGATGAATCGTGAAGGACTGTGGAAGATCATGCAGAAATTCGGCTGTCCGGAGCGATCCACTCAGATGGTACGTCAGCTGCACGACGGTATGATGGCGCGAGTCACGGACAACGGAGCTGTCTCCGAGGCATTCGCAGTGACCAATGGAGTGAAGCAGGGATGCGTGCTAGCGCCCACCCTCTTCAGTCTTATGTTCTCTTCTATGCTGATAGACGCCTACCGCTACGAACGCCCTGGAATCCGAATCGCCTACAGGACGGACGGTTACCTCCTGAATCAACGACGGATGCACTTCCAGTCGCGCGTATCCACAACCGCCGTTCACGAACTTCTCTTCGGCGACGACTGCGCCCTGAACACCACCTCAGAAGAGGAGATGCAACGGAGCATGGACCTATTCTCTGCCGCCTGCGAGAACTTCGGTCTGGTCATCAACACGCAGAAGACGGTGGTGATGCACCAACCGCCACCCCAATCAGCCACACCCCCAACGCGCCGCAAATCAACGTGAATGGGACCCAACTGCAAGTGGTGGAGAACTTCCCGTACCTGGGCAGTACCCTCTCCCGCAACACCAAGATCGATGACGAAGTCGCCAACAGGATCTCGAAAGCCAGTCAAGCCTTCGGTCGCCTCCAAAGCACAGTTTGGAATCGTCATGGTCTTCAACTAAGAACGAAGCTGAAGATGTACAATGCCGTCATCCTGCCGACGCGACTGTATGGAGCGGAGACTTGGACGGTGTACACAAAGCAAGCACGCCGTCTGAACCACTTCCACCTCAGTTGTCTTCGTCGCATCCTGAGGCTGAAGTGGCAGGATCGAATCCCCGACACTGATGTGCTGGAATGGACGGGAATCCTCAGCATCTACACCATGCTGAGACAAATGCAGCTGCGTTGGAGCGGTCATCTGGTGCGCATGGACGACAAGCGACTACCCAAACGACTGTTCTACGGAGACGTCGCCACGGGTTCTCGCCGTCTAGGAGGCCAAATTCGCCGTTACAAGGATAGTCTGAAGTTCTCCCTGAAGTTTCTGCAAATCCACCCGACCAACTGGGAAGAGCTCGCACACGATCGGCCAACCTGTCGGAGGGCAGTGAAGACGGGCGCTGCGATCTACGAACCCAACCGCATCACTGCCGCCAAAGTGAAACGCGAAGCCCGCAAATCACAACTTCACCCAGTACGCAACGCCGCCACACAACAGCTTCCAACGTGTCCTCGATGTCAACGGACATTCCGGGCTCGAATTGGACTTGTTGGACACCTTCGAATCAACTGCGCCACTCAGACCGCACCAACCATCGTCCCTCTGTCCACCTCTTCCTTGTCCTCTGCCCCGCCAACTAACTCTGACCGCTCTCCTGAACCACCACGTCCATCCTCCTCCTCCTCTTCGTCTTCCTCCTCCTCCTACCCCTGCTCCTGTTCCTCCGCTGCTGCAACGCTTGCTGTTGTGGCGCCTGCCATGTACATCAACGCTGCACACAATCCTGACACATCCTCAGAAATCAATACCACCACCGTCGACCCTAGAGGTGAGGACCAGGACTACACCTGCCCTCACTTCCACTGCACCTTCACCTCACGCATCGGCCTGATTGGTCACCTGTGAATCCATCGCACAGAGACTGACGAACCAGTGCCTGAAGCACCCACCTACACTCGCCGCATCTGCCTCCACTGTCCACACTGCCCTCGCACGTTCTTGCACCGCATGGGCCTATTCGGCCACTTGAGCATCCACGAAAACCTGCGGTAGACAACCACCGGCTGCACCACACCACTACATCCTCCCTCACCGTCACCTCACTGCCCATCAGCACCACCCACCACCAGTACCCAACTGCCACTTCCCATGTAATTGGGAAGTGTGCGTCTCGACTCAGTCTCCATACGGCTCCTAATGCATGCGTGACTCGAACCTGAGACTATCCCGACGCGTCAAACTCCGTGGATAGGGAGGCTGCTGATTGACGCCCCCACCCGATCCACGCAGCCCGTCCAGCTGTGTGTGCGTATGTCTGTGTCTGGGGGGCCAGGTCGTGCATGTGGCGCGCGCAGACAAGGTCACTAGACGATGTCAGATACCGCGCCCATTCTCCGCTCCAGTCTGCTGACCGGCACGACCAGTGGCTTGGATGTGGGAATGGGAAGGGAGACTGAGGTCGACGATTCAGTGCATTTCCCTCCCTATAAACGATCTAACGCGCTTGGAGAAATCACAGTGCGTTAAAAGCACTGGGTTGGAAGTTTGCCAACTGACGGGATAACTTGGACCTCACAGTCGGCCCAGTGTTGTGTGTGTTTGTGTGGAGCGACCGACTGGTGGTCTGAGCGTCAGACTGCAATGACTTCTTCTTAATGTGGCCTTTATAGCATTCCCACTCCGTGGAATCCAAGCCAGGTGTGAGTAGCACGCCTAGGTGCAGCATCGGCCTCGCAAGCCTCCAATCTCATTGTTGTTGCCTGGTCGAAAATCTGGTTATTGGTTGGGTTTAACAAGGGAGTGTGGATTGAAACGCCAAGTTGGAGGTTCGACCGTGCCATCCACCTGCGGCCTCCCCCGTCTCCGGTCTTCTTGACTCTAACTTGACAGCGGGCCCAGTTGGGGGAGGAGGAGAGAGTGCGATAGGTCCAACGCAACTCTACTCTCACTGTAATCCTGTGAAAGTCACCGTCCCTGCTCCCACCCTGCTGCGGAGTATACGATTGACATCGTCAAAACCGACGGCCGATCTATCGTGTTCTGAAATGTTTGGGTGCCAGTTTATAGGTTCCGGTGAAGGCCGTTGCAAGTGGTATCCTTTTTTCGTGCAGGTGATTACTATACTAGCGTCCTATAACTGCCTACCAACTTTTACGTATGGCTCCTCGAAGTTACACTCTGTTTAGCGGCCATACCCTGATAACCGCCTCGGCAAGCGAGCTTAATCGGATGAAGGCATCCGCTGCTGTGTGTCCCTGACAACCAGTAATTCCTTTCCTATTCCCGTCCCTCACCCTCATTGCCTTACCATTCCTTTCCTCTAACACTTAGACTCGTCGCACCCCTTCCCACCTCACCTTTATCCCTCTCCCTACTCGAAAAAGTTCAATGGAGGGGACGAAATGCAATTCTGTAGGCGGCACAGGCTAACTAGTTTCGTCGTCCAGTAAACCATGTTATGACCCATAGTACAGTCCGGCTGTCGTCTGTGATGTCAAAACAGCCCTACATACGGAAAGCACTGTCCACTCCTGCAGGGAAGTGGTTAGGAAAAGGTTCAAACAAATGTTTGGTAATCATGCCATCTGCTGGTGTACCATGATTCACAGATATAAATCTCGCTGTCGAAATTACAATGGACAACAACGATTCTTGTTACGCTCACCCCATAGGCTGCTATGGTGAGTTCGCTCAATCTAACAGCCTAGAATGTTCACACCCCTTTAGACAACCCCAAGAGCAATCGTTCAGAACGGAGGACGGCACGTGTCGCTTGAGAATTGGCGCGTCTAAAGGTGAACATTGCTGCTCTCGGCGACACCTGGTTCTCTGAAGTGGGCCAGCTGGAGAGGGTTGGTATCAGCTACACTTTCTTTTGGAGCGGCCGCCCAAACTCAGGACGATACGATGCAGACGTCGCCTGTGTCATCCGGAAAGACATCGTGAAAAGACTGCCCTGTCTGTTGCAAGGCGTCAAAGATACCTTCATGAGCCTGCATCTGCCTCTTTTGGGACCCAAGTTTGCCACCATCCTCAGCGACTAAACCCAAAAATGGCCGGCTCTGGTAAGACAAAGACCAAGTTCCACTAAGACATACACGCCATACTGTCGTCTGTGCTGAAGGCGTACAAGTCTGTTGTCCTTGCCGACTTCGATAGTCACGTCGGGACAGACCATACTGCCTGGAAGAGATTGCTGGATTCTCATGGTTTAGCGGCTGTAAAGATAATGACTCCCTTCTTCTGCGATCCTGTCCGGAACACCGCCTCCCCCTGACGGATGCCTCCTTACGCCTTCCGACGCGGAGAACTGGACCTGAATGCATCTCTGATCGCAGTGTTGGCAGTTGCTGGAAAGTGCTCTTGTCCAGAGGCAAGATTGTCAGGACACGCTGGCGACTAAGGGCGATCTGCGACGCCGATGGTCAGACTGATCACCGCATCGTCGTCTCCAAGATGGAGTTCCAAATGTAACCTCGCAGGAGGCCATAGCGAGGCTTGCTCACCGCTTACATTTCAGCAGTCAGTTACCCCGGTACCTATTATAACTATCAGAACCGGACGGCAGCGTCCCAATGAAGACTCGCTGGTGTGAACAGCAAAATGCTATTCACGCAATCACGTTAAATGCCCTTGAACGCGCGTGTCGCCAACATTAAGACTGTTTCAACGGCCACGACGGGGACCTCATCAGCCTAGTTGCCAAAAAGAACAGGCCCATTGATGCCCACATGACTATTGTGTAGACCCGAGTATGACAGCATTCTTTCGCTATCGTTACATTGCGCAGCGGCGACTGACGGAAATGTAGGACGCCTGAATGGCTCGCAATTCCGAAAAACGTTTTACATAAATCAAGGCCGTCTACGGTCTCATAATCACTGGAAACTCGCCGAGTCTCGGCTCCTTTGTAATAATACTACTGACGGCAACTCGCAGATTTTAAAGCGCTATGTTAAGCATCTCAGAAGAGCCCGCGACTTCCCATCTGCAGTCTCCAGCGCTGCCATCGAATGACTTCCTCAAGTGGAAGAAAACGATGATCTGGACCTCCTGCCTACTCTCACTGAAACAATTGGAGCCACGCACTTACTCTTCAGCGGGAAAACACGGGTATCCGTCGTGATTCCGGCCGATGTCTATAAGCACGGTGCCCCCAGCTCATGGATCAACTCTCGGCATTATTCCAGGATGTATGACAACGGAGACCAGTTCCTAATGGTTTCAAAAATTCGACAACCGTCTATTTCTACAAATAGAAGGGGAACCGGTGAGTCTGTGATAAACAAAGAAGCATAAGAATCTCGTTTCTCAGCATTGTTGACATGATGACTGCCCGCATTCTCCTCAATCGTCTCAATTGCCATCTCGAACAGGGATTTCTGTCGGAAAGCCAGTATAGATTCCAGCGTTATTGGCATGATCTTTGCCACCCACCAGCTGCATGAGAATCGTCAGAAAATGCAGACACAGCTCTACACAACCACCATGAACTTCATGATAGCCTTCGACATGGCGAATCGCGATGGATTACGGAAAGTCATGCAGATGTTTGGCCGTCCTGTGCAGTTTACACACACGATGCGACAGCTGCGCGACATAAACAATGGGACCAATTCAGAGGCATTCGCAACGAAGTGAAATAACCTGCGCACTCGTCCAAGCCCCCATCTTCTTCATATTTTTTGCCATGCTGATGGACGCGTGCCATGATGAGCGTTCCTGGCGCGCATCGCCTACAGGACCGGCGGTCAGCCTCTCGATAACCGGCGCATGCAGGCGTCAACGCGTCCCTCAACGAGTTAACTGAGATGTCCTCCCAAAAAGGAAGTAAGTCTACAGTTTCTCCTCCCTACTGTTGCCGCAATGGCACTCCCAATCATTTTGGATCCGATTTGCCTCACTTTATTGTTATATGAAAGCATGGTTCCTCGTGCGCTGACCAGCGTTGTTGTCGCACGCCCAGATGCGGGTTTACGCCACACAGGCCCTATCCCGACTCCGTCTCCTTAACTCTGTCGTCCCCCTGATTCCGGAGTGTGTTGATGACAGAGTGCGGTAGATGCAGCGCATATCTGCTACCCATCTAAAGTAATTCACGTGCCAGTCCTGAGCGTCCCTGGTTGAACACTGCTTTGGGGACACAGTGGACGCCATCGGGGACGACGGTCGAACCATTATGGAAACCATTATCAGTTTGAATTGTTTCCGTCCCATGTAACATAAATTTCTTTATTTTGTACTCGGTAAGATTAAATTGGCCTATGTTCATTATATTTCTGGTTCCATGGTATTAGATAAAATATCATAATCCTCGTTGATTTACAACGGGAGGAGTTTTCGGTTACCCTTCAACTTTATATTTTCTCCAGTCTCATTTTGCCAACAGACATAACGTTTAGCTCCCGGGAAAATCCTCGAGTAGCTGTCACTTTTGGAGTAGGCATTTTGACGGATGCGCTTGAATCTGCAACTAGGATGCTGTTGTTGTCGGATTACTAGGCCAGATCAGTTAACGGGGACAATTCCATTGTCTACTTCTGACCAGTTCGTCTAGAGCCCTATGTGTAGGTGTACACTCGTAGACAAACCATGCTATGCTTGTAGCATTTCGTTAGTCAGCAAGGATGGAAATTTAAGATAAGGAAATTGTTAGCACGATCCATCTTGCCAACAGGTTGGCAGCTCGCATGCACCCTCACTTCTTTGTGGTGAGCTCTGAAAACAGTCTTTGAATAGGCTGGTTTTTGATTTTCTGTAAATCTTCTTGTGCGTACGATTATTTGGTTAGAGTAACTTAGCTTGGTGCAGGTATAAAGCCTGGTGTCGAATGAAACATGCTCGTTGTCGATTGAGATACTCATCTAGTTAACAGAAAGAGCACTAAATCTTCTAATGGTTAAGGTGGACATAGGTGTACTCAACCACTTCTTTACCACAAGTTACTAAATTCGAAATACAGTAACCTTGAAGGAGGTCGGCGAACTGTCAGCTGATATATCCTTAAACACTACAGCATCTGGATTTTTATGAGTTGTAAATATACCGAAAGCGCCTCACTAACGCTGCCATAAACTTTTTCTGTTATTTCCTTTGCCAGTATATCAACGTGCTTAAAATGCTAACAGGTAGACTACGACTCATTAGTGAGTTTTTATAGAAGATACGCCTGTAGAGCGTAGGCTGCTGTTTCTGGGGAAAGTCAGCTTACTCACGGAAAATGTAGTATTCCAAGACAGCATTTGTCAAGGCTTCATTGCATTGTTGCGTGTCCACTGCGTCCTTTTGATTAACGTTTCTCAGTAAAAACAGGGCGAGATCTGTGTCTCAGTCATCAGACAGACATCCTTAACTTGATATTCGTTCTTATTTGACTTCAAATTTAAGCGACATATATCTTATTCGGGATACCAAAGCTTTACATTTCCAGTAAAATATGAACAAGAAGGTCGTCTGCTGATGGTCCTGTAACACGTGAAAACGTTTTTTTGAAAATTGTTACCACGACATTTTCGCAAAAACTTCCTCTTTGCATGTCCAAGCATCTTATTTCTATAGAACGCTAACTTCTTTTTAAAAGGGGTTTGAGGTCTGCGGTTATTTTGGCGCATGTCCAAGGATAACAAAAAAAAACATTATAGCCCCGTAACGTCGCATAGAGGAGTGGGGCACCTAAAGTAACGGCTTGCATAGTGAATTCTCTAAAAAAAACATGATTTGTAAGACATGAAATATCGAAATTTCCGGGAAATGGCCAATAGTTTGTTTCAGGAAATTAAACACTGCAACGAAAACGTCCAGAAATCCTAATCGAAAGCAAAGCAGGAGCACTCAACATGCATTAACTTGCCCTTACAAACGGTCTTTAACAAAATTAAGATTTCTGGGCGACAAATGACGTCATGGCTGTCCAACGTCTTCGTTGAACCTTGACCTTAAAAATTGTTCGAATGCATTGAAATTATAATCTTGCTCCCACTGGTGTCGCGCATTCGAAAGCTCCCCTCGTTGTTTGCACGTGGTTTCTGCGCGGGAATCATTCCTGGCCGTTGACCGGGAAAGTACGCTCAAGTCTATTTATTACCTTTAAGTTGTTCAGGTTCTTCCTCTGTTCTGCCTTTCTGAAAAATATCCGCGAAGATTTTATGCCTCTGTGTTTTCATTCCCTTTTTGTCTCGGCCAAGATGACTCTTTTTATTAAATCTTATTTTCTTGCGTGGTTATAGTATTTTGCAA